GCAATGGCGAAGGATAGAACGACTTGGCGTGAGTTGGTTGAGGGCCTATGCTCAATTGGGGGATAGAAAGGCAAAAGAAGAAGATAATAAAGAGTCAATTTGATTTTTTAGTGATCGCAAAATATATGATTCTGCATACTTCTTCTTTTCTCTACTCCTGGAATGACTCACAGCGTAAGGACAGGAAGAGATCTCTAGAATGTGCCCTATTGTTCGCTTCGTAATTAGTACTTTTCAATTCTCTGATATTTCTGTGGTCCATATCCTGCATGGTCGACCTCTGGTTCTGTTACCTCAGTATCTGTATAACATTGCTCTCTGTGGTAGCCAATATAATCTTATGCCAATTTTGTTACAGGGCCTCCTCGTTACATATGGTCGCTGGAAACTTGCATGTTTAAACATTTAGATTTTTTAACTTTTTGTATTTTATCAACTAGTATTGATCACAGGCTTTCCTGCCTCTGCATTGACTTGGCCAGTCTTTTCTTATTTTAAATAATTCACTCCCCCCTCCCCTGAGATGTTAATTATGAGAACAATATATACAAATTTCAAAACCTTTCAATTTCTTTATTGTTGATTGTAATTTTTGGCTGACGTAGTTTTGCCGGAGAAATTTTTTCTACTGTTTGAATTTTTAAAAAAATCTCTCCTTATATGGTGACCTATTTGATTAACTGATTAACCCCCCTAGACACTATTTGAGAGGAAGACCTTTTCATCAACATTTCAGAGTTCTGGAATTTTATTTATACAATATGAATAAAAACTGTTTTAACTGAAAAACCCCACACATCTGACATTATTCCTTACATTTTCAGCATAGATGTTGATATTGTATGGGGATAGAATGCACCCATTTCATACTTTCCTTAGAACCTCAAAGCAGTTTATCATCAGTTTGACGTTTCCACATCTATTCTAGCAGTTGTGTAGTATCAACTCTTTATAACATAATACTTACCACACACACACAAATCATTATCATTATAACAAAGACTAGAACACAAACATTTATCTTCTTCTGTCAGTGACAGGAGGTTTCAAAGAGCCATTGGGTGCAAGCCTTGACATGTATCACATAGATGTTGGTATTTACTATCTCAGATACTCCATCTATCCAATGCTTGCTTGATCGACCTCTAGTCTGCTTACATTACATCAGAGTGACAAGGCTCTCTGTGGTGCACTATCTGGTGGTAACATATGTTCAAATCATTTGATCTGTTGTATCTTTAAATAGTTTAGTAGTGGTTCTGTTCCAAACTTCTTTCCTGATATCGTCATTTCTGACCCTGTCTCTTCTAGTTACACTTAGGATTCATTGTTGACATTTAATTTATGTTTTTATTTTATTGTTAATGTCCATACAACAATTATTCTCACTGCCTGTATCTGTCACTTTAAGGATGTGCAAGAAAGTGGATGGGAAGGGGGGGGGGGAGGGTACATGAGCGGAAACCGGAGACACATGGTTAGTGCAGTCATCATGAACTGTGCAGAATAAGATTTTTATTTTTGCCCCGAAAGAAAAAATCTCCAGCCCTTACTGAGTATTGAACCAGGGTCTCCTGTGTGACAGCCCAGTACTCTGGCCACTCAGCCAGCTGATCCTATGGCCATTTGTGTAAATCCTTAAAGCTGTGTAAAATCTGGGTCTTCCACATGAGAGTTCAAACAAAACCTTTAAATATTTAACTATTTTTCACATACTAACAAAGACTATTATACACTGTAAATGTAAGTGTTTAATTATTTATAAATCCATTACACAAGCCATCCGAGAAGTGCATGACAAATACAGAAAACCATGACACTACAACTTGGTATCAGTGAGATGACAAAATAAGAAAAAGAATTATTTATCCTATACAACAACCCTGAAACTAAAGGACACAATACTAATCATCAATAATAAATCAAATTTTGTAGGCTAGCTTATTCAAAAGAAATCAAAGGAAAGTTACACAAAAACTCATGAAGAAAGAAATGACAATAGTATCTTTACATTCGACATTGAAGATCAAAGACAGATGTACCAAGAAAATAAATGGCAAAGAGCTTTAAGAATATTGAAGTTAACACACATTTGTATGTAATAGTATTCTATATTGCTGAAAAGTGATAACATATTCAACACCACATACAACTCCCACTCTTCTGTAATAGATTTCTAATCCCTACACATGTGTGTGTGTGTGGGCACGCGTGCACGCACGCATGCACACACACACATATATTTATTTATTATTTTTAAACAGAGGAATGAATGTGCATTTTAAATACGAATGTTAATTCAATTTTTAATACTGTTATAGCTAGCATAAATTTTTTTTTAAATTTAGTAGAGTTATGCTTACAACGATAACGTTTTGCTAAATAATTCCTCACTTACCATGGTTTTGCAACCTCAAGAGCAGTGAATATGCAAATGTGAGAATAAAACTTTAAAGTTTAATTTGTCAACAAATTCAAAAGTTATGACAAATTTCTGAATCCTTTTAGCACTCACAGGCTCTAGGTTCTTATTTGGTGCTGAACAAAATTTTAATGAAAAATGGCAGAAAGAACACCCAGACTCTACTGAAGTAAGTTTCTTCACCGTTTGATTACTTATTATTCAACATTTGCATCCATACAGAGGAAAAGACACACAGGACATTTAAATCAGCTCATTTTTGTTTTTTGTTGTAATGACTTTCATGATGATACTCGATATGGTAAATAAGTTCTTTGATATGGTGATCCTTTATGTGCATTCAGTGTCAAATTACAATCATATGCCACTGTGCAACTTAAATATAAACCATTTCACCTCAAGAAGCTGAAAACCCAACATTTTTGTTTGGGTCAAATCCCCCATACATGTCACTTGAACGAGACTGCTATAATGGCTTGTTCACGAGAAGCCTAGCTAACAGCATTGGTTCCGTTTGCTCCTGTGCAAACATTAGGATGAACTGGGAATTATTATATTTGCTAAAAATAACAGTTAGGTGGGGTTTTCATGTAAAATAATGGCCTGTCTTTATATAAATTTTGATGTCAAAATCTCCTATTATCATAGTCGGGTCACAGAGTCAAGAATGAGTCAGAATTGACGTAAAAAACCAACATTTATAGGCTTAAAAAGATGTAACGTGGTTAATTCTCTGCCACATTACTTATTACTCCTCTTACTCCATATAGAATTTAATATTTGTTTGGCTTATTGGTAGTATTTTTATGTTACCTGATTGTTTTTTAAATTGTTTTTGTGTGAGTGGAAATTACTGAAGTATGGGTCAGAGGATTTTTTTTTTCTAGGTCACCTAGGTGAAAGGATTACATGAAAAAAGATAGACTTGATTTATTTTAACTCCTCTGTGGCTTTGACAGCAAGCTGAACTTGTTTTCTTGAAAACTACCAGCATTCATTATTACTGATAATTACTTAAGCTCACTCACTCAGCCCATTTTAATCTAGAATAGTTTTTAGACAACTTTCCTATTCTCCCTTTGTAACTGTATCATACATATCAGAATGTTTAGATTTTGTCCTCTGACCTAACACTGAATCATTATACCTCTCTGTGTGGGTCCCAGGGCCGCATTTTGAGGAAAAAATGAACAGACTCACTGCCCTTTAGGGCCAATAGGTGCAGATATCATAACCTAGCTGTAAATCCAAATGCAACATACCTAAGGTCATTGTAACAGTGAATGCAGAAGAAGAACAGTTATCAATAAAGATGTTGAAAAGGTTAAATGATAAAGCTTATCCTTTTTTTTTTTCACTTCTCAGTAATTCAATTTAAAAAAAAAATCTAATATCAGATTCTTGTCTGCACTCAACACAGAACCATGTGTGTAGATAATCACATCACTTGGGCGGGTTTCAGAAAGTATAAAAGTATACACCACAAATGATCTGGGAAGGATCCAAATAATTTAATGGAATATAGAATCCTTCTTTCATTAGAACCGAATCATAATAAAATAACCACAAACAACTCAACAAAACCAGTGTGCTCATTGATATCTTCGTTTAAGAAAACAAACAAGAGAAACAAATAACAATCACGATGAAAGGAAATAGAAAAAAAATAGAAAGTACACTGTGGAAACAAAAATGTAGTGATAAATTAAAATATATTGTGCTCCCCAGCCTTACTTATGTTACAATTATCTTTACATGTTAGTTGGGATGCCTGGTTTGACGGGATAATAGTGTGTTTAATTACTTGTTTTCATCTTGAGTATTTGTTTCTAGCAAGACTGATTCAGCAGGAAGTGAGCAGTTTGGATGCACAAACATGTAGGGCAAAAGATAGGCACTTCTAACCCAGCTGCTACCTACAACATCACTATGATCTCTTCATCCATTTGTTTGTTCTGGGGCCTCGTTGTGGGGAAAACAAGAACAAACTCACTCCCTCGACAGCAAGCATGTCATAGGAGTCGACTAAATATGGGCAAACTTTGAAAGTCAGGGTACATCTGCCTGAGAGGCAAGGAACCACAAGTTCACATTCAATTAAGCCAGATCTGTGAAATGGATGGACACACGACACTAATGTTTAATTAACTAAAACAGCAACACTCATGTTCTGAAACAAGATTAAAGTCCAGAAGTGGAAGAACACCCAGAATTTTCCACTAGAGTTTACAGCTGGCGAAAATGAAGAACTCTTTGCTGAATACCAAAGAGGAGGAAGGAACACATTTAGAAATGTCTTAGATGAGTGGTGTCAATTATAGATTCATTCCTTTTTTTTTGACAAGAAAGCAAATTGTAATGTTTAGAACACACTTTGTTGACCATCAACTCAGCTTGTCTTTTGGAGAGTGACCAATAGTTTTTACAATGGTCAAAATTTTTATTTGTTTTATTTGTTTTCTCATAATAAAAAAATTAATTTGTGAGTAGTACCAAATCTGTAAATCTGTTTACAGGTGCACACATCTGGATAAGTAAAACAACCACAGACCTCATGGAAAATACTGGTATTTCATTTCTACAGTCTGCTTCTTTCTTTGCTTGTCCACTGATCTATTGGAACTTCTGTGCTATGACTTGCCAGTTTTCTTAGCAGATCACTTGGTGCCCAGTAACTGGAATGAGCTGCTCAAAAGTGTAATATTCCGTTAGTCATTTAAAATATCTATGTAACAATGCATCATATTTACAAGTTGTGGAAACTGAGCAAAAGATTAAAGAAAGTGTTATCTGCTTAATGCATCTGTGCCTGGGGGTCTATGTTGTGAAGGTCATGAGTTCATTTCATGTACTTTTAGTTCACAAGTGCAGTTTTCATTGAGATCCCAGGGATCATCACTGGAGCTATGGAGTTCTTGCTTTGTGTTACGTTCTTGGCAGACAGCTGAGTTATATGTGGAATAACATCCATTATGAAGTGGTTCTTCTTGACTTTAAATTTCCCTGCATCTGAACATTCCATCATTAAAGAAGTGTTGATGCTTCTAAACTATTAGGTCATGATACTACTATTATGTGTTTATGTGGTTCTATTTTACCAGAACATTGTGCAAATTAAATGCCTAGAATAATGTTTCATGAAAGCATGTATATACTAACAAGAAAATCATTAAACTCATCATTTGCAGGTATCACTGTCTGATTATCATTTATCCCATACGTTTGCCAAGAAACACAGGTCGGTTGGAGTATTTTCAAATAATGTGTATTCTATGAGCATAGTGTCTTTTTTGTGTGTGCACATTCTGCCTAATTTTGTTATGCAACCCTGATCTTGTTTAAAGAAAAACAATTATTGATACATTTAAGTTTAAGTAGAAATCAAACAATATCTACAGGAAAATTATTATAAAATGAATAGTTTGTGAAAAAAAATAAAAAATACTTACGAAAAGCATCATAGTAATAGCAAACTCGCTCATAAATTGTCTTCAGTCCAACTTGGCTAGCATAAAACATTGGTCCCCCTCTGTATCTTGGAAATCCAAGGCCGTATTGCCTGAAATGTAAAGTGTGTTCAACTTGTGACTGAATGATTAATACAATTCAAAGTTTTGTATTAGATGAATTCTTGATAGTTTACAGTAGCACTTTCATTAATCTATGTATGTTCAACATAGACACACACAAAAAAAAAAACCTCGCTACCACAACTTTCATGGGGCCAAAAATCAAGTTCATGTAAAAAATGTGTGCTATCCGGAGACTAATAACAATGATTTATCCATGCACAATTTTTTTTAATGTTAACAAAGTGTTTTTCTTAAGGGAGTTCAAGTTAATTAGGTTTGACTGTAACTGTAATAGTAGACCTCCACTTCCAGGTTAGCTTATTTAAGTGTTCCAGTTTAATTTCCTGGACATTTTGTTTATAAAATATTGATTTCTGGTTTTGATTGTTTGGCTTCCTAGCATAGAAGGATAACATGTTTGAGATCATTATCATCCTGTTATGCTGTTATAAATCACATATGACTCAGTCTATTCTTCCAATCTGTTCTAGCTTTTTAATTTTTTTTTTTTTTCAACTCACTGACAACTAAGCCTGGTAACCCTTGCACTTTGGGGGGCTGCGTGGTCTTGAGTCATGGCGTCCGCCTAGAGTGCAGGAGGTCCTGGGTTCAGGCCCTGATGAAGGCTGAGATTTAAACACCCTGGCTTCTATTAATTTCCTCTGGTCTCTGGGTAGCAAGACCGGATGTCCATGTGTATTGTTGCACACGTAAAAAATCTCTTGGCAGTTGGAAATTACAAAAAGTAGCCTAACAGTGATGCCTGGGCAAAATTTTGAGTTAAACATCCACCCAAAGTATTTTAGAATTCTCATCGGTGCTATGGAGTTCGTGCACTGCGCTGAGATTCTTCAGACTTAGACTTGAGATAGAAGTTGAATGAAGCCTTTATGAGTTACTACCCTTGTGCCATGATGTTGATCCGTTGTTTAAACCTAAACCTTGCACTTTTCCAGATACCGTGTATTTTAAGTAAAAGTAAAGTAAAGTCAAGAGCCCTTTACACGCCCTTAGGCGCATCAGGCATATAGGAAGAGCACCCATATTTTTACAGACCAATCGGCACTTGGTGGGTAATGTGGTCAGCATTACGCCGGCTGTCTTTACTTTCCCAGGACAGCCCATCCTGGTACCCATTTAAGGCTGGGTCGACCTGCTACGTCCCATACCACGATAAAAATCCACGCAGCCCGCAGTGGCTTTCGATTGCGGTACGTTGGATTATGAGTCGGGCTCGCAATGCCTTAGACACGGATGCCGCACTGTGTATTTTAGTGTGTACTAAAAATGCCATAGTTTTACAACTATTAAACTTACACTTTGTATTTCTTTTTTCACCAACTTGAATGGAGAACACATTTCAAGAAACAAATTGTGTTTATTTTGTTTCGCATATATCACTCATTTATCAAATTTTAAAGCTAAAATCTGTCAGTGGTATGGTAGCATAGCATCGTTCCATATAAAGTGGCACCTGACATTCATTCCCTACACTAGTAACTTGTCATAGCACCTTAGTGACCCTTTTTATTATCTGGAATTTTACATTTATCCTTTTCTACACACACTGTGCACCTTCTTCTGTAAAAAGGGGTACTTCAGGAAACCCTTGCAAAATTCAATGCCAGTCACCAACAAGTGGAATGTGTGGCAAATTTCCCCCGGACTCGTAAGATGATGATGATGATTCTGCATCGAAAGCAGCAATTATGTCTTCATCATGTGTAGTCACAATATCTTCAAAATCGACAGACTCTGAATAAATACTTCCATTAGAACTATCAGTATCAGAAACAGCTGCACTAGTGCTTACTGGTGACGGTGTAACTGCTGGCCGAGTCTCAGTTAGACTTGACTTTGAAATGACACGCTGTTGTTTCACCGTCGATAATGTTTTTAATGGCTGTATCTGGTACCCACTAAAGGCTGGGTCGACCTGAAAGCCAAGGTCATTTCTGGAAAAAGTCCAGCTAAGTCTGGACCTGAACCCATGACCTTCTGATACGCAAGCATGCTAGCCGCTACACCACGGTTGTTCCCTGTGCTGTCAACTATGACAGTGGGACAAACAAAGATGAAGATGATATGCTAAATTAAATACTGAATGTACACTTAACTCTGTGGTATAATAGATCACCCGTGCAAAATTCAAGATCTGCAGGAGTTTAAATCTCTAATTTAATCTCAACACTCACCAGATGATATCTATGTTCTCAGGCTTTTCTGCAACACCTTCTTCTAAAACTTTGAAACCTTCATTGATGGCAGCAAATAAACACCTCTCGATAATTTCCTGTGTACATATTTAAGTTAGTATAATGTAACACTTCTAATGTAGTAATTAATAACAAAATTGAAAAAAAAGAACAAAACATACTACACATACCCCATCCCCTTCCACACACACAAAATGTTTACAAATTTAAATATATACATAATTATTCCTACTCGTACCATTAAAATACAAGTTTATCAAACTAAGCAGTTATTACTAGCATTAATATGAAGAGCTTGAGAAGAGAGGGATGACCATCAGTATCTCAAAAACTAACACCATGGTGATCTCAAGAGAGGAGAAGAAACACCAGATCATGATGGGACAGTATGCATTGGGACAGGTTAACAAGTTCACATACCTTGGAGTTGTATTAGACAGAAATGGAGGCATTAAGACTGAGCTGGCTACACAAAAAGCAGCTGCTGGTAGACTCTTCCAGGCCTTAAAACCGAGGGTTTCTTAGCAAAAGAGAAATTGGCAAGAGGACGAAAATGCCTGGTTACCGCTCTATCTATGCACCAGTCCTGACCTATGGGTGTGAGTCATGGGCAATGACAACAGCTCACAGAAGCCAGCTTCAGGCCTCAGAAATGAGATATCTGAGAAAGGTGGTCCAAGTGACAAAAAGGGACAAAGTCCAAAATCAGACAATATGTCAAGATCTTGATACCCAGTCTGTCCAAACCTGAGTGGATCAGTTACAGTTACGATAGTTTGGACATGTATGCAGAAAGGGAGAAAATTGGCCACCATGGCTGGCATGAGAGGCTAAGAACCAGGGAACCAGACCTCCAAGGTGCGCTGGGAAGACAACATCTGACAGTCCCAAACTGACAGAGGACTGGAATGGAACAAAGTCAGAAAGAAAACTGCTGATAGAGACATCTGGCGATCTCTTTAGCAAACCTCTACACCCCAAGGTAGAAGAGGAGGACTAAGTAAAGTAAATTAATACGACCCGACCAACAACAACAAAAATATACGGGATTGGGTAATGTAGCTCAGAGGTTATGAGATTATGATAGATACTAAATCACATACAAACTTGATTTGATTCAATATGTACACTAGACTGTTTATCAAAAAGGAAAGGAATATAGTGGATCAGACTGATTAGAAAAAAAAAATAAAGTTAAAGGACTTGCATCAGTTCTGGAGACTTTTATAGGTGAAAAGAGGCAAAGTAGCAATCTAGACTTCTGGCTGTATAATTTTATTATTTTTCTAGGAACAGCACCCCCCCTCCTCCCCCCACCTCCAATGATAAGTTTAACAGTCCAGGCAAAATTAAATTAATTAAAAAAAACTGTAGGCCAAACTGGTCACTGTCAGGTTAAATTTTAACATTACAAAACCTACCAACAAAAGATTACTTAATAGTGTTTGTGATTGTGGCATGCACACTTGTGAAATCTCACTGTGCCATAAACTTTGTGCAATTTGTTGAGATTCTCTTTGTGCGATCCTTACAGACGACTGGAAAAACTAAGGGCAGTAAAAGTGATCCTTAACTGTAAGGGGTCCATTTTCTTATTGTTTAACAACTGCTAAACCTAAATTATGTGCAAGAGTCTGGATGGATGTCACTGATTATTAATTATAATGTATGCATGAACAAACAGATTACATAATAAAATATTAACTTGGGGGCAAACATGCAAATAAGGAAAGCGTGAAATCATGAGCAGAATTTTTGAGTGCATGAGAAGAAGAGGTTATTTAAGCTTTCAGGAAATGAGAAAGTTCAGTCTTGTTTTTGATCCGGTGAGAGTCTTGTCTCGTGGTGCTTGGAATGCATGAGTTATGAGTTAAATGTGACTCATCCTGAGAAAGAAAACCTAGCTATTGCTTCATGACGACTTAAGACGGGGGATAGATCTTCTGCTGAGCTGTGGGGTTTGTGTGAATGTTTTTTTTTGGTAGTGTTCAAGCGCAAGCAGGAGATGTGCTGACCATGAGAGCCATGACCAGATAACGTAAATATAATGTACTTAGAAAGAGCTGCTTCCCTAGACAACAAACCTCTGCTCCATTGACCTAGAGGAATATCTTTGGAGCAATAAACATACAGAATTCAATAGTTCAGTGTTAACATTTGTTCATGTTCGAGCTTGCTGTGTTGAAGTGCCTGTCAATGTGCCTGAGCAGGCCGTGTGATATGAGCTCTCTAGTCTCTGCATTAATCAAAGAAGGAAATCACTGAAAAAAAAATTAAAAAGTAACTGATACTGTTTATTTATTGTTAATTATTTATACAACAAGATAGTCTCAAGTTAAAATTTAAAAAAAATTAGGAAATGTGAAAAAAAAAAATAATTCTTTATTCAAAACAGAAGACACACATGAGACAATTACATATTCTCCCCATTAGGATTTTGGGGTCCCATTGTGGGGAAAACAATAATAGAGGACTGCCTCCCCAACAAGCATGTCGTAGGAGTCAGCTAAGTAGGTGCTTCTTTCGAAGTCCTAGTGCATCTGCCCGAGGAGTAAGGAACAACCAACTGCACACACAAAAAAAGCCTGTAAAACAAATGGGCATGCAGAAGTAAGGCCCTGGCACAAGGCCAAAGTCATAATGGATAAATAATCAGGACTTTTTGCTGCAGCTTACAGCTGGTGTACACTGATAAGATGGGACGAATGCATATTCATCTTTGGTAAAGAAATCACATTTTTAGAAGTGTTTTAATATATCTTAAGCAAACTGTAAAAGGATCAACAATCAATAAATGTTTCAGCAAACCTGTGGTGGGATTACACGTCTCTCGATGCCAAGACTTCTACAGTGACTGTTAATAACATCGGTGATCTCAGGATCAGGATATGCTGTTCGAGCAAATGGTTTCTCATATCTGTACCAGCCTTTCCCTGAAAACATTCATTAGTGAGCTACATTAATTTCTTATACCTTCAGTGACTAAAGAAGGAGATAATCTACATTCTTTGGTCATGTAATTAGAAGGAGAAAACTGGGGGGACATCATGACAGTGGGAAAGTTGGAGGAAAAAAGAGACAGAAGGAGACTGAGAGAGATGATGGACAGTCTGACATCGTGGAAAGATCACCTGTGTCAGAATTGACTGAAAGTACACAAGACAGAAGGCTGTGAATAGACATGGCTACACAACATAGACTATACAAAGAAGAAGACTAAAGATGAACGTATCTAAAAATATAACAATTAACTAATAAAAAATATAACTGGCGTTTGAACGTTAAGCTGTAAGACTCATGTATTTCCTCTTTTTAAGATATTCGGAATAGTTAAATAGCATAAAGTACCCTTTGAAGGTATATTTGCAGATAATTTAAAAGACAGTGGGTGAAACTTTGCAGTGTTTTTCTAAGGCTCTTAAGTTACAGGTGTGAATCCTAGTTACATCTGTATTACAAAAACAAAACAAAAAAAAAACCAGTGCTAAACAAGACAGAAGGCTGGGGAAAGTTGCGATGATATACCCCAAGATGTGGATTATAAGGAGAAAATTATTCTCAGAATAAGTGATAAGTCAATTTGGTTACCTGTTTTCTGTCCATATCTTCCCAATTCATACAAACGATCTGGGAGAGAAGAATAGCGCTCTCCATTAACAAAGCGGGTTTCGTAGGTTAGCTGAATCCCTTGTTCCTTGGCACGCTCTTGTCTAATACGCCAGCCAACATCAGAACCTGAAGGTTGCAAATATTGATGCAAATGCAGCAAAAACATATAATATCATGAATGTGTACAAAATACAAATTTTTACAAACATTATAAAACCCATCTGACCATCTGCTAACCTGCAATGTCTAGTGGCACAAAGCAGAATAAGTAAAAAAAAAAAAAAAAAACAAAGACAGATCCTTATATTTAGAAAGAAAAATAAGAATTAAAATGCTTAATTCAATGCACACATATTTCATTCATACAATTTCTGACCTGACAAATCTGTTACTCTGAAGGGACCCATAGCCATTCCAAAGTCTTCCAGAACTCTATCCACATCTTGCGGCAATGCACCTTCTTCCAGCATGAAAACAGCCTGATTAATATTACAAGGATGGTTAAATTTTCTCTCCACACAAACAAATGTGAATCATTTGAATACAAATCATTATTAGGCAACATGACTAAAAAGCAGCATTATTATAGCTGTATTTCAACTCTTTGTCTCAGTAAGATTTTAATATTTCAGTTCCCTGTGTACATTATGGGGCCCCATTGTAGAGAAAACAAGAATAGATCCATTGCCTCCCCAACAAGCATGTTGTAAGAGTCGACTAATTGGGGGTTTTCTTCAAAGTCGGAGTGCATCTGCCTGAGAGGCAAGGAACCAACAGTCTGCATATAAATAAGCAGGATCTGTAAAATAGATGCACATGCAAAACTCAGGTCCTGGAGCAAAAGCTAAAGTCCACAAATGGACAAACAACCAGGTCTTTCCGCCAGGGTTTACAGCCGGTGAACGCAAACAACAACAATATTGCAGCCTAAGCATGATTTAATTAATTTATAATAATATTTAAACATTTAAAAACTAAATATATGAAGCAGTGTAATAAAGTAACATGAACAGACTAGAAAATTATGTGAATACAATCCCTTGAGTCTAAAAAAAAAAAAAAAAAAATTAATGGTGACTTGTTTCAAAACCACTGAAGAATTTCATTAAGAACTGAGAAACAAAGAAAACATACCATTGTTTTGTATGTGAAAACATGATAGTGTTGATAAGCACAGAAGCTACAACATTTTCTCTGGTTTTAACTGCAAATGAGTAAATTCAATATTATTATTTGTTGAATCTTCCACATGTGGTTCCACTTTCTGCTTAGGTGGGAAAAGAATAGATCCACTATGTCTCAAACAAGCATGTTAGAAAAGGTGAATATTTATGTGTTTTTCCTTCAAAGTCTGAGTGCATCTGCCTGAGAGGCGAGAAACAAACACTCTGCATTCAAATAAGCCATATCCCCGGTATTGGTTCCTAGGCCCTATTGTAGGGAAAACAAGAAGTGACCCAACAACCAGAACTTTCTGCCAGAGTTTTTAGCCAGTTAACACTAAAAAGAAAAGAATATGATGATTATCAGCTGACTCCATAAGTCTTAAATGTTTTTATATTTTAAAGATGACATTTGTGATAAATTTAGGATTCTATAATTGTTATTTTTCTGTGATTATGTGAACAGTTCTTACTTCATTTCCAACCATTCTGTTCATTCTGTTAGCTACAAACCCATCACATGTCCTGACAAGAACGGAAACCTGAAAATAAACCAAAAAATTATTAATTATTCTCACAACATACTTCAAAGATAATTAGCTTCAAAGTTTTTTGTCACACGACATCCCAAAAAATTATCTACTGGTTTAAATATGTTGGCAACTGTTGTGCTCATAACCTGTCAAAATTAAGCAATTTGTTTTATTATATTTATTTACTTCATGGGTTCATGAAGTCAAATTTATACAAATTACTTGCAAGTAACCAAAATGTTTCAGGAGAATTTATGCACAACCTCAGAATCTTATAGCTTTAACTCTTTGAGTCCCAAAGGGTTTAGCATCACAGACCCAGGGGGTAGTAAATAGAGTCATAAAATCGGCGCATCATGCGTTTATTGGGCTTCTAGGTAGGAACCTATGGACGTGTGTTCCTTGAGACTCAAATAGTTCAAAATTAAATTTAAAAAAAATTTTTAAACTTGAAAACATATAAAATATGTGTTAACAAATAACACTCCCCCCCCCCAAAAAAAAAACACCAATACTGAAACAACAAAGTTTAAACTCTGCATAATTAAAACTGACAGAAATTGCCATCCAAAACTGACACCATAGCATGGTGACCATGCCTATTTGCACTTACAGTTTCAGTTGCCATTTGGTTACACATGCCGTTCATTTATGCTCAATGGTAATCTTTGCTTTTAGTGCCAAACTGGATTCCTAAATCGATCAGTCATAATGTACGTAGACATCGATTTATGTTCTCTCTTTTTTTACATTTTTTTTATTGGGAGACGATTTATTGTTTTTTGTGTGCAAAACAACAATAAATGTTCATTAAGTGATTCCAGTGACCCCTTTCACCCAGAGAAGCCACAAAACTGACACTTCCTCTTGGGTCCAACTCTGTCTATCTCAACCTCTAATTCTAAACACACCATGGAGAATATTCTTTTACTAAGTTATCGTTGGAGCAGCAGAATTCTTGCTCTGCCATTGGTATTTTTCATGAAGTACTCTATGATAGACTTCTTCATACTACTACTTGTACCATTGGCATTAGAACTCTCTTATTGCTGCTGAAGATGTGAACAGAGTTGTTATGGTAATGTTCTGAGTGCTGCCATGTCAGTTCTCAACTCAAATGATTGTAAAACAAACATTTAAAAAAAAATAATGTGGAAGAAATATAATCTCAATGCAATAGATTATCTATCTACTTCATTAAGATGATAGAAAATATATCACACTAAATAATTTTAGCAGACTGCTATACTGGATAAGAAGAGACAGAGAAGAAGGTGCTATACTGGACAAGAAGAGACAGAGAAGATGGTGATATACTGGACAAGAAGAGACAGAGAAGATGGTGTTATACTGGACAAGAAGAGACAGAGAAGATGGTGTTATACTGGATAAGAAGAGACAGAGAAGATGGTGTTATACTGGACAAGAAGAGACAGAGAAGATGGTGTTATACTGGACAAGAAGAGACAGAGAAGATGGTGCTATACTGGACAAGAAGAGACAGAGAATCACTAAACAGGCACTGAAACTGGAAATACACGGACTTATGAAAAAAAAGACGTCCAAAAGAAACACAAAGGCAAATGTTGATGAGAGAAGCCAAAGTCACTGGACTGGATTCCATCTAGATATTGAAGTGACTGCATGAGATAAAACAGAATTGAGAAACAGACAGCAAGCTCTATGTGACATACAATAGCACAACAAGACAATGACTTAATGAAAATCTCTACACACGTTTCAGTCTGGCAAATAGGATTGAAACACACAACAGAAACAAGACATTAAGAAGTCATGCGTCACGGCATGTCAAGAAAGTAAAGGGCCGATAAATTCACTGTGGGCAGACCACTTCTAATGATCAGAAGCTTTCCATTGTACTCACTTCCTCAACTGTTTTACTACTGTATGTATAAATATACTGAAGGTGACTAAACGCTCACCTTTCCAATTCTCTTCCCAATATCCATGATTGTAGCCACAGTAGATGGAGAGGTGTGAGTACCATACACATTTTCTAGAAGTTTCATGATGTGAGCAGGGGCAAAAAAATGCATGCCAGCAACTTTGCCAGGTCTATTAGTAGCAACTGCAATCTGGAAAGATTATCAGTCTACAATTAATTTTTCTGTGCTTCAAAACTGTGTGAAATATGTCTGTATACAATTTAAATAGATTTTATAATTCTGTGGAAATGATACACTACAATATACAATTTCATAAGTAATAGGCTAATATGTTTTCTTATAAAATGACCAATTTTATATATATATATCAAATAGAGTTGTAATGTACTTATTAAAATGATATTCCATGTAAAATCAAAGCACAGAACCATAAATTAACAAAACTGCATTTTCATTGATTCAAAGAGTTTTAAGCTAGACATTATTACAATGAAATGAAAAAAAAAATCCAACCTAAAAAATTTGAAAGCCTAAGAATAGACGGCATAAGGAAACATAAATACAGCAAAATTACCTTGTCTATGTCTAAAGTTGATGTATTTGAACACAGCAGTGCAGATGGCTTACAGATTTTGTCCAGCCTGGCAAATATTTCCTGCTTTAGCTTCAAGTTTTCAAACACAGCCTCAACGACCTGGTTCATACATTAGTGAAGACAATGAATACATTAGAACTCCACTTACCAAAAACTACAATAAATAAACATCCATTCAAAAGGAACAGTGACCTTATTCATTTATCGAAAGGCCAAAATCAAAAGCCAATAAACAATTAACAGATCGACACAGAAATATCAGTGTTGTTTACTAATTTTGAGCAGAAAATCTTCATCAATTGTTAGAAACTTAAGGATTTGAGAAAAACAACTAGAGACACTTAAACAAGAAGACTGCCGTCTAGAGCAAACAAAAAACCTAAGATGGCATTTAACTCCCAAGAGCAGGCAATAGCTTAGAGACAGAACACAATTAACAACAAATGTAGTCAGCAAATAATAAATTGAATTATACCACACCTTGAAACAGCAACAAGTAATAGTATAATTGTAAAATTAAGTTTTAAGACATTCTTGACAAAAGCAAATTAATTATTTTATAAAATTTGAAAACACAGCAAATTACAAATTTTGTAATTTACACTTACACAGTTTGAATGTATTGTATATGGTAGCATCATATGAAGATCAATACTGAAAAGACAGAAGTCATGAGCATAAGTAGAGAGCAACAGACCATCGACATAAAGATTCTAGATCACAGCCTAAAACAAGTGCAAGAATTTAAATACTTGGGAAGTATCTTTACATTCAATGGTAAAATAGACAGAGAGATCGAAGCAAGAATCCAACAAGCAAACAATGTCGTATACCAGCTTGCCCCAATTTTAAAACACCCTGCTGTCCCAGCTGAGATAAAAAGACAAATTATAAATACAATCTTTATACCGACATTAGGTTATCAATGTCAGACTTGGACATTAACAAAAGAACACGAGTGAAGACTAACCACCTGTGAAATGAGATGTTTGAGAATGGCTGCGAATAAAACCAGAAGAGATCGAGTGAGAAACGATGTGATTACAAGAACTTATTGGAAACCATACCCATCGTTAAATTTATTGAGAAGCAAAGAATGAAATGGTTTGGTCACCTAATGAGAATGGAACCAACGATGCCAGCATCAAAAGCATACAACATGAAAATCGAAACACCAAGAGGTAGGGGAAGACCAAGAAGAAGATGGATTGAAGGAGTCACGGACAACTTGAGACTTCATAACATCACGGCATATGAAGCGACTGTGCGCGCCCTGGCTCGGTTGCCGATCATCTGATAGACTGCGACGCCTAGCGGCACAAGCAGATTTTGACAAAAGAAGAGAAGAAGTATATGGTAATCAGGGCCATTAACTAGAAATACTGCTTTTAAAAAGCAAGTTACAAGAAAGATTCATGCTTATAAAATAAGAAATACTAAATTTTTTATAAGCAATGGTTTCCTTCAATTCATACAAACTATATACCAAAAATTATATTGTATAAACTGACAATTACTCAAATTTATATGTAAAATTAAAGACAGTGAATAATGAGAGACATTCAGAAAGTTTAGTTTGTTATTTATAGCAATATGGAAATCTAAGGAAAAGGAGAACCAAATACAAACACATCAGTACTGGTGTGTGGAGCTGAAACCTAGGAGAAAAACTCAAAGTAATTACTATTTATTACTAATAAACTACAAACATTCATTAACTGATGCCTGCATAGAATACAGTGAGTGGAATTACAGTATCACTTATGTAGAATTTAGGCGGAGAAGTAAACAAATTCCAGTTAATCCAAGAAATTAGAAAAAGATGCTAGCAATGGAATAGATACAGCCAGAAGATGTGATAATAATATGACTAGAATGATCTTATTATGAAACCCACACAACCAAAGACAACTAGGAGTTCAAAAACAAATGGATAACACAATTAAAGACTAAGGTGAATCAAGTGGGAGGACACTTGGTGAGCTGCACATGGTGGCACAGGATAGGATATCCTGGCTTGAGTTGGTTGAGAGCTTATGTTCCACTGAGGATAAAACCAGAAGAAGAAGAAGAAACAGAAGAAGAAGAAGAAGAAGAAGAAGAAGAAGAAGAAGAAGAAGAAGAAGAAGAAGAAGAAGAAGAAGAAGAAAAAGAAGAAGAAGAAGAAGAAGAAGAAGAAGAAAAAGAAGAAGAAGAGTTAGATAAAATTCCCATGAATTTATTCAGATTATGCATTTCCCAACATTTTTCCCTTTGCACATTGCTCATCTGACCAGAAACTGATATATTCTTCATAAATTATCAACTTTTCTGGCAGAAATGACACCAGCAGCTCAGCCCAGCTTACAATGGGTTGTAGAAAATGCCTTAGGAAGTAAAAGCAGCTGGCACATTGTTGAAATTATCTATCAAGTGTTGACTGATCTATAAAAACTCCCTGTGTGGATTCCTGGACCCCGATGTAGAGAAAACAAGACAAGACTCACTGTGCTCTAAATGAACACTAAGAAGAAGAAGCAGGTCTATACGAACATGGGGCTAACATCATATGTCTGATGTGTCTCAAGGCGTGAAAAGGTTTTTTTATATGTTAACATTTTCTCGTCCTGCCACATCTTTCTAAAAACAACAGTGCTACCCTGAAAAGACCCTTTTCCATGCCTTTGAGTGTACTGGGCAGATAGCTATAGACCTATTATAATTTTTAGACCAGTCGACATGCAGTGGGTGATGTAATCAATAGCACACCAGCCACCTTTACTTCCCAGGATTTTACCAGTTACCCATTTAAAGTTCATGTTGGAAAAAAAAATCCAGAACTAAACCGTGTCGGTTTGGACTCATGATCTTTGGATCCGCAGGTGAGTATCTGGCCGCCACACCATCGTGGTTCCCAGTGCTACTTTAAGGAAAATAATATCTTAATGAAAACTCTTATTTATTATTTTATTCATACCAAATCTACATCTGAGACTATATCAAGACTTGTTTCTCCTCGCAGAATCTGAAGACTCTGTTTTCTCTGATCAGCTGTTATGCGATTCAGTTTGACACTACCTTGCAAGATTTGGCCAATGTTTTTCAGGGCATTCTGCAGCAACTGGAAAATATTTACAGTCTATTAAAATCTTTTTCACAAGCTATATATACAATAAACTAACATAAGGTCTTAAAATTTGTAAGAACACAATCTTTAATAAACATAATCCTTAAGAATTTTTTTTTTAACCAGGTTACATATTTGGTTTTTTTTAAAACCTTGATCATGATTTTTTCCCCTATATTATTCATCTCTACTTTTTAATTTAGAATTATTTAACTACTGTAATTTGAAATTGGATGTACTGAACCAAAAGGCACAGATATCACAGCAACAGTTTTTTTTGGGGGTAAACACAAAAGAAGAACTACCAAAATATGATCTTACTTTGTCATTCTGCTCCACCAACAAAACCGGAATGCCAACTCGAATGAAGCAAATAGCAATGGCAGACCCCATGGTTCCAGCACCAATGACAGCCACAGATTTGATAATGTCAGGTTTGGTGTTCTCAATACTTGCACCACTCGGAAGCTTCCACTGTTCAAACAAAACAAAATCAAATATGCAATACTGATGTGACAGCAACAAATAAATAGCTAGAGAAAACTAACAGACTGCGTATAAGTTCGTCGCATATCCATTACAGGTCCCACATGTGTTAGATGTATGGTTTCAAGATATAATTTTACATTTAGTAACTTGCTCTTTAACAGTTAGCACCCATATGATTGCTGAAATGAATACAGAGTGGTCTGCTGCCAAATCATCTGCAGCTTGAACCAAACTGGGTCTCTGGAATTATGAACTGGATTTGCAACGCCTAAGCCAAGATGCAGATAACAATATTAATGCATGGTGCAAAAAAAATGTACAAGTTATAAACAAACACTGATAAGGTCCAGGAATGAAGAAGAAAAAAGACAGAAAAAGAAGTAGAAGAAAGTGAAGATAAACGATAAAGACAAAGAATTTGAAAAAATTTTGGAATGCAAGGAAAGCACTACTCACTCTTGGCAAACAAGAGCAAACATCATATTTTTGTATGCTAAGAATAGTAGCAATGTGACTCACCATGCATATGATAAGAGGCATTTACCCCATTTTCCCAAAAAATAAGACAGGGTTTTTTCTAAATTGTTTGCTTCGAAAGATGCCTAAGAGTTAATTGAATATAAGTTTTTTAGTGTAGACAAATCCTAATTTATTCAAGTATTTATACATTCATTTCCTTAAAATTTAAAACATCTATCTTGTGCTTCAAAGGACAAACAAAATCCACCAGTCTGGCTGTCAATCCTAACTAGGGTTTATATTCAGGAATGGTTTTTATTATGAGCATCCCAAAAATTTATGTTAGATCTTAGTTCCATCTTGTAGAAAAACTTTATATGCAAAATGTGCACAGAACAGAGACGTAGACACGAGAATAAAATAGGGTGCTTTATTAATATCTTACCCTAAACAGGGCAATCCACAGGTTATAGGACAGTCAATATTTCAGGGGGTGGTAGATAGGCTGCATGCAGTCGTTGGACGTAGGTGGTGTGACGGGCGTATGTTCATTGTGACGTGCTGTAAAGGCTGCGTGGTGATGTGCGGCGTACCAAAATGACTAGGGGTGTCGCAATGTAACAAATGGCATCAACACTTAACATGCCACTGACCAAGTGTAACACAACATGATGAATGTTAAAGCTTCCAAACGTAGCGGAACGAGAACTCTTTTTAAAAGTTCCATTAGTGTATTGACAATATCGATGATCAACACAAGGAGAAAATATGCAATTAATAATATAATCCAGACTCATTCAAGCACATCAACAAAAGCTCGCTCGTACATCCATGGACTGATATGACCTTACGATAGGTCGCAGTCCGACCTTGAGATCCAGACAGTAATCTTTGTCTGAATTAAGTAATGAAAGTATACCGGCTTACTGCCGAACTGTGACAATTTACCAGCTTCCTGCTGAGGTCTATCTTGGAGTCCCCGGGTAAAACATCCTCAAGGATCCAACTTTATACAACGTTTGCTTCTGTGGGATCCCGGGGTAAAGCGTCCTCAAGGATCCACACGTCCGTCTCCTTCGGACTGTAAACATCAACTGCAAATTATACCGGCTTACTGCCGAACTGTGGCATCCCGGGGTAAAACGTCCTCAAGGATCCACCGTGGCATCCCGGGGTAAAGCATCCTCAAGGATCCACACCAAAGCCGGACCACCGTCCGCCTTGGTCAAACTTCGACTTTCATCTCCTAGAATACAATTCCTTCAGAACCTGACGTATTGTTTTGACGTCTTATTTGCTCACTCAGTACTGGTGCGTTCTGGTGCACATCCGCACGCGGCAGGTGGGTAGTGGTTAGGGCCAGTTCTAGATGTTTTGGGGTCGTCAAAAGCATCAGAAAGCTGGGAAACTCAGTCTTACCACCCTCTAAAATGTTGGACTGTCCTGTGACTTCATCTGGGGTAGGATATTAATAAAGCACCTAAATAAGCAATAATAAGGAACTTCAGTTTGTGCAGCGATATACCTCCTGCTCTAGAAGTGCAGCAACTAATATTCATAAATGACGGAAGAATTTGTATATACACAGAATTCTTATCTTTTAATTAAAAACATTTAATTACTGATATTCATGGCATTCAAAATAAAGAAAAACACACCCGTGGAGCTGAACGGTCAGCAAAGAATGAATATCTCAACGCAGCAGACTGGGCACTGGTCAAAAGCTCTCTAAACAGAGCAGCTTCTAATCTTGCAGCTTCTACGAAAGGTAACTTAGCAGAACCTCTTATAGACTTTAAGCAGTTCTGTATAAATAAAACAAATAAAATATGGTAAGCGCATTTAAAACATTATAAAATATTTTGTAATGAAATGTCAATGACCAAAAACATTTTAATATCAATATTCCTAGATGATTCTAATGCATGTTTTTTTTGGGGTACTTTTCTTATCCTATTCAAAATTTGGCAAGATCCGAGATTTTTCTGTTACCTGAAATGACAATACTGTCATTCCAAAAAGTTTGTGTTTTGGCGTTTCTCTGTCAGCTCTGAAAAACAATCAGTATATCACCCTTTTCTTTGTTTTATAGCGCTGTTTTAAGATATTTCTTAAACTCTTTCAGTCTCAGGGGGGTTTAGCATCAGAGGCACAAGGGATAGTAAAAAGAGATGTAAAATCTATTTATTTTGCATTCACTGGATTTCTAGGTAGGAATATGAACAGATGATGCATTTCTTAAGACTAAAAGAGTTAAATTTCTTTGTGTTTCTTGAATCACCTGACTGAACATTTTTGTGTGTTTATATCTGAGCATAGAAGTCTGGAAATCTGGCCACTGAGGTATGCAAAGCTAAATTCAACAGCTTACATCTGGAACACTTTTGGGTTACCAAAGGTTGGCAACTCAATCTCAGCGAGGTCAAACAACAGCAAACAATCACTGACTTTATATTCTGACACATCCACAGAGTGACTTGACTTTCATCAGAAACAGATGAAAACTTGCACCTTCACAATAATAATATTGGGCTGCCAGAGTAAAAATAACTGGGATCAAATAAAAACAGCAAATAAACACAGACTTTACATTACCAGTGTTACAGTAAAATCTCATTAACGCAAATTCCAAGGGACTGAAAAATCCAGAGCTCATGTTGAAAAATTGTGTGCCATTGGCAGAGTAATAGATGTTCATAAATAGTACATCCCTACTAGGACCAAAAATTTGTTTATGTTACCTGAATGTTTGTCAAGTGCATTCTTGTTAATGACCTCTACTCATAATTTAAATATTTTCTCTTGACAATATTTACCACTGGTGCAATCATTCCTTTGTACTTTCTCTTCACTTCTGCAAGGGCCTCTGTTGATACAAAAGCAACTATAAATTTGGACTCATAATAAAACAACCGTTTATATCATGAGATAATCCTTGATGTTTAAAAAAATTCAAATAAATGTGAATTCAAATAATGCATACACAAACATTACATTGCGTTGACCATGTCATAATAAAAGCACGCAAAGGCCTGTCAGCAATGAGGGTCTAGAGTGCTGTGAAGATAATCTAACTCACTGCACAATTTACTGCTTGGCAATTTCACTGCATTTCATCAGATGCATTTCAAGAGTTACACCAAAACATAATTAAAGCACATACACACAAAAACAACATGCAATTACACATGACAAGTTAAGATACAATATAACAAGAAGTGTTAACAGAAATACCATGTATATTCTGCAAAACGCTCTAGTAATAATAATGTTAGTTAGTTAGTTAGTTGGGTTATCATCATTGCACTCCGGACATGTCCATAGGTGCTCAGATCCTCCCCTCAGTATAATCCCCAACGTCTGATGGCTAATAGTACCAGTTCTATGTTGATTAACAAGTCTTCTGGCGTGTCTGGTGTGCGTCTCGTTTTTTGCTGTGCCGATCTTAATACACAAGTCTGCCATTCTGGCAAGTGATGTGGATTCACTGCCATCAAAGTCCTCTATCCTTCCCATTTCTCTGAGGGCATTGACAATATCAGCATGATCCATAGGCCGACCGTCGGTAGTGATAGCGGATCCAGCCAACCTGTCAGCTCTTTCATTCCCATCGACGCCTGCGTGTCCCGGAACAAAAATAAAGGTGACTCCACGCACAGTGGACTTCTGTAATGATTCAAGCTATTGTCTTCACACTGAACCTGCCTGAACCCTCCAGATCATACTCATTGAATCACTGAGTATACATACTCAGAAATAATAATGTATGCTGAAGAAGTAATAATGATAATGAAATATGAAAATGCATGTAGTTGTGCCTCCAATGAATTAATACTTGACAAAGTTAAGTGCTGTTCTCTTAACATTTCATACCAGAAAGTTAAAACAAAATAGTAAAGCAAAACAAAAAACAAAGACAATTTTATTACATTACCATCAAAGTGTTTATCTACTGTGGCAGCATCTCTTACTGCAATTTTGCTGAGCCTTCGATTATCCAGAGGTTTGCCAATGACACTCTTGGCAAATGTTTTAGCTTCTTGCAAGAGATTTCCACTGATGAGCTAAATAATATGGAGTTGGATTAAACTAAATGAATATTTATAAATAAACATTATATGTGCACCTTTATTTATTTTACGCACTTCAATGAAAAGTTAGTCATTTCATTATAAAAATGTATATTTTAAAATACAATGAATTATGGCAGCCATGCTGTAAAAAAGGCACAACGCAATTAAATCTTTGGGTGAATGCAGAAGAAGAAATACAATGAATAGATGTGCAAAGAAAACAGTAAAAGGCGTAACACTGAATAATTAGTGTTAATCTTTTGGATGTTCAGAGTAGTCCCCTAAAAGCAGTATCTACACATTTCAATGGTGATTAACACCGTGGTGTGTCTGTTGTGTCTGATATGCAGGTCATTACCATTTAATCTGGTAAATCTCATTGAACTGATCATAGGAGTGAAAAACTGCTTTATTTTTTAGCTAAACGACCCACTGGAGCAGATGTGGTGTAGTGGCTAGATGCTCGTCTGGTGATCCAAAGGTCAAGGGTTCAGGATCCTAAGAAGTGGAGCTTTTCACACACACAAAAAATGACCTTAGTTCCCAGGTCGACGAAGCCTTATATGGGTACCAGGTAAAGCGTGGAAAAGGTTCCCTTACTTTTTAATTGTCCCATAGTTAAATGTAACCACAGGCTCACTCCCCTCCTCCTTACTCATTGGTAATTCCCATTTCTCCTTGGTTGTATACTTTAATTCTCTTTGTCCTGCCCTATGCTCTTTTCCTATAATGAAACCTTTCACTCTTTTGATGTCACCTCCAGTTAGCTGTGCCTTGAGAGAAACAGTGCACAATCAGTGCAGTTCTAGACGTCCATGGGAAGCAGGATATTCCACATGACTCCTGAACTTTAGCTTTTAAGAAAATACACGTTGTGTTCTTGTAAAGCTGACAAGTTTTTTCTGTTTTTATTAAACAATTGGGTATTTTTACAACTTTACTGCAGTTCAGCCCATTACACTCCCTTATTAACACAAACAATAATACAAAATAAGCATCCTAACAACATAAAATAGAAATAGATAATAGTAGTTTGATACACATAAATTCTTCTGTTATTTTAGATAGATGTGTGTGTATGCGTGTATTTATATAAAGGCAAAGGTAGTTCCATGTCAGATAATGCAGCTGAGGTACGAAGTGTCTGACCTTCACATATCCTAGGTCAGAACATGAAGAAGTGGGGCGAAGAAAGTTTCCTTCATCATCATTCTTCTTTCTCAAAAAGATGAAATAATGATGAAAATTTGACTGATTTTTATGATCTGGGTGGGATCAGATCAAGATGGCAGAAGTAGGAAAACATAACCCCAACTAAACTGATAATTAAACTCTAAACGCTATCTTGACTGACAGGCAAGCACATTAATCTCTATTCTTTTTCTTCTTCTTCTTAGCATTCATCAACAGCAAATCCCGGTGGAAAAGTTTGGTTTTTCTTCCATTTCTAGATTTTAGTCTTGTTCCAGAACTTGAATTTTGTGTGCACATCTGTTTTACAGATCTGGCTTATATGTATGCAGACTGCTGATTATTCCTCTCTCAGGCAGACGCACTCTGACTTCCAAGGAAACTCCCTTAATAAGTCACCTTTTTCAAATTGCTTGTTTGTGAGCCAGCAGGTCTATTTTTTTCCCCTACAGAATGGGGCCCCGGAACCCACACGGGGATATCACAATTCTAATGTGGATTCTCCTTAAAAAATATAATTATTGAATACTCACTTTATCGAGGATGCCATATTTCAGCGCCTCAGGTGCATTAATGTGGTCCCCAGAAGTAATAATTCTCATAGCAACTGCTAATCCTGTCAGTCGAGGAAGACGAATGGTGCCCTGTGCACCGGGCAGAAGACCAAGCTTGACTTCTGGAAAGCCAACTCTACAAGTGCACAAATATATATTATATTATAAAATAAGTTATAGAAGTCTGTTTGTGTCTTGTGCACGTGGCGTCAGAGTTGAAAATAGCCTTGGTTGAATAATGCACAAATGTCACATTTTGTGTTTTGCATGAGAAGTCACCCTCAGGGATAGTACATTTGCTTAAAAAAGCATATGGTGATACCACAAAGAAGAAATCATAAGTTGTAGGAAGCATACGCGTTTCCACAAAGGTTGTATAAGTGCTAATGACGATAAATGTAGTGGGAGACCACCTGTTATGATAAATAGTGAAAACATTGAGCATGTTAGGAATATTGTTCATGCTGAAGGAAGATTTATTGTCAAGAAAAACAGCCTCAGAAGTTGAAATACTAGTTGTAAGTTTATTGTTCTTTCTCTAAAATTGGCATTGAAAGGGCAGTGATTCAAGGATGTTGAGGACATTATTACGGATGTGATAAAACAGCTGAAAGAGGTGTCGAAGAACTGGTTCTAGGAATGTTTCAAACAACTGTTTGAAAGGTATCAAAAGTATGTAGTTGTAAAAGGTAACTAATACGAAGGAAATGCAGAGTAAATAATTTCACTGTTACCTATTTCTACATAATACACAAATTCTAAGAACTTTTTGATGCCACCTCGTATACACACATATATGTGTATGCATGTGTTTGTGGGTACACACACAAAAAAGACTTTTTATGTAGTGTGTATATTTATAGGACGTAAATAAAGGGCTCTTTTCTAGTCTTGCTTGCTTGCTTGTTGTACCTTACCAGGGCATAACACAAGTGATAAACACCCGGAGACACAAAGTGCCACAATGCAAATGAGGATCACCCATGGAGAGGTCCCAGTAACCCCTTTCAGTCGTTATGGCCCCATTTGTGGCCCAACTATATTCAGGGCCCCCGGCAAAAGCCAGGGCAGGGCTTCAAATAATGAAAAATTACATCCCACAAGGGGACGACTTTAAAGTCTATTATGTGATTAGCCATTTGCACATGGCTTATATAATATGCAACTGCAGCTTAACATTATTTATAGCAAGCACTTCTACAGTTTTAAATGACATCTCACTATTATTTTAAAAATCATCGTGTAGCAGGTCCTTTGCAGAACGTCGCTCTCATCACAGCCTTAAAGACACTCGGTCTCTCGACAGTTCTCCCGCCTTATGCACTTTCACACTCAAGGAGTCACTTATTTCCTGTGTCCATCTTCGTGTCGGTCGGCCCCGGCCCGTTCTTCCTAGTACCATGCCTTCTGCTATAATTTTTTTCAATCCGTCGTGCCGCTTGATATGACCAAAATATGTCAGCTTTCGAGAAAGGATGCTGTTTATTAGCCAATCTTCCTCGATGTTCAGATCTTTTAAGATGTCAACATTTCTCATCTTCTTTGTCCAAATTTAAAAAAAATACAACCTGGTAAATATATATTATAATCACTGTTATTCAGTAAGAGTGAACAATGCAGTTCAAATTAAACAAATTATAAAGACAAGTGGGTTTATATCCATGAGATCATACCTGGACCTCTCATCTGCGATCCTGTAATGGGAAAACAAAGCCACCTCTAGACCACCTCCAAGAGCTGTCCCATGCAAGGCACTTATAACTGGTTTTTCACTGGCTTCAATGGCCTCTCCTACAGCCGTCAACCATGGTTCTGACAATAAATGATTGGTAAGACATATGAAACTACTGCATAACAGTCAACAATTCTAAATATCAACTATTATCCTTGTAGGATTTTTCAATTTAATATTTAAAAAATTTTTTTTTACTTTTTAAAAAATTAATTTAATTTCAAAGTAAAATAGTAATCTTAAACAATTATAGATAGTTTACAATGGCAGTCATAACAGTTTCTTGTGTCGAAAACAGATAAAAGTCCATTAAAGGAAATGAGCTTGTTCAATGTAAGAAAAGTAACCGGCATGATGTTGACCACATCACCCATCTGAGTGCCAATTGGTCTATAAAATATAGGTCTAGCCCTATATGCCCAACATATCTGAAGGAGTGAAAACAAATCCTTTAGTTATTTTATTTAAGCATGATAGGAAACTAATCAGTTTTACAGAGCATTAATATATTCCTGTGAAACCCCATAATTTAAATTAGTTAGTTAGTCTTTCCTCATAGGGTAGAAGTCATAGTTCTCCATGTCTAGTGGTTTTTTGCCACCAGTTTTAGGTCTTGGATGCTTGTTAAGTCTATTGTTGAGCCTTCCCTGATGATGGTGCTACATAGTCCTACTTGGTCTTCCCCGTTTTCTTTTCCCTTCCGTTGTCCATATGAGGGCTTGATGAGGAAGTCTTGTCTTATTCATTCCGAGTGCATGGCCAATGTAGTTCTAGCAGCAATTAATTATAAAATTAGATACATTATCTTACTTGGTCTCTTGTCTTAATTGCAAAATGGATCTGCTCCTTTTTAAGCTCTGACGTCTTGTAAAGATGAATAGAATTTGGCACTGATGCAGAAATGATCAATCTGATTTTTGCTGTTGTTACCTGGCGAGTTCCTCGTGATTTTATGTATATTTTTGTGTGGAAATAAGAAACTTGCTATTATCAGATTTGCTATTTTACAATTTCCGTCAACCTCTCTCCGTTTTGGTTATGTCCTCTAGACTGTGAACTCCCATGTATTTTTTAAACATCCTTGTTGTCAGATTCTATCTTGGCAATGAAATCACCCATTATAATAACAATGTCGTGTTTAGGTGATTTGTTGATGGTACCAGTTATTAGGTCATAGAAATAGCCTTTGTTTGCGTCGGTATCGTCGTTGGTAGGTAAGTAGCACTGTATAAGTGAAATATTGAAATATCTGGTATGGTAACGAGCTGTTATGATTATGTCATTCACTGGTTCCCTGCTGATTAATGATATTTCTGCTTCGGGTGACATAATGATAGCGATTCCATTTGAACGGAGGTTGTCGGATCTTCCAGAATGAACTTTATAGTTAAGAAATATCTTACTTAAGCCAGGTAATTTAAATGCAAACAAGGAAATCCAGTCGAATAACAGAATCCTGGTTTAAAAGACAAAAGCTGAAGGAAAATCAAAATGGGGGATAATTATGTTTAAAAAGAGGTAAAGGCACAACGGAAACTATCTGTTAAACAAAAAATCTACATAATGTGGTAATTGGCACAATCAATGAAAACCAATACACGCTTGCTAGTCACACTCCCTATGTGTCTACCTGTAGCATAATGGAACACTACACTCTGGAAAGATAGAAGGGCGCCAACATGTATTGCACTAAAGAGCTAGGGTTGTTGAGTAACATGAACAGTGACATAAGTTGCCAAAGAACTTGAACAGTGGTAATCTTCTAATTTTTCTATTGAAACAAATTACATTCTATGGTATGTCAGATATTTTGGGGTGTCCTGATTTCCTTTGTGTGTGTGTGTGTGCATGTGTGTGTGTGTGCGTGTGCACGTGTATAAATGTGTGTGTATGTATGCATATATTTGTGTGTGTATGTATGCCTGTGGTTTAGGTGTTATGAACAAGTTTCATAATTCCAAGGAGCTGCGTCTCATCCCAGCTGAGGACGATTTTGCAGGAGACCGCCTTTCTTTCATTTTGACAGCAGCATCAATAGCTGATCGTTCAGAAGGCAATGGCAAATTACTAAATGTAAAGTTGCCTAGTGAAATCACAAACAGCTAGAAAATGCTACAGTTGGTTATGCAATGTTCTGTATAGGATACACAACTAACTAACTTATTCACTCACTCACACACAAAAACACACTCTCTCTCACACACACACGCACACACAGAGTACAATACAGACAAATCTACCTTTCGGTGGTTTCCCAAATTCTCGAATATCAGCGCCAGAGGGAAAGGTACTCCCTTTACCAATAATAACAATGGCTTGCACACTGCCATCCTGGTTAGCTTTCTGAATTCCAGTGAGGAGACCCTCTCGAACATGAATGCTGTGAAACAGTTTTCAGAGATTATAATTTAAAAAAGAAAAACGACCTGACTGTTCTTTGCACACACACACACAAATATATATATATAATGACTGTTTGGCTTATCAAGCTCAGGGCTTTTACTACACAATTAGTGTCTTCTCTTTAGTGGATGGGTATTACTAGTCAGTGTTATCTTATCAGCAGATGAGCTTTACAAAAGAGTTAGTTGTGCTCTTTTTCATGGATAAGATTCACCACAGTCCATGCCCTTTCTTCAGTGAATGAGATTTATTAGAAAAAACTTCTTCATCTTCTTCTCTTGTCCTGTTCTGCCTTTCAACGACATGCTGTGAAGAGGCATCAGGTGTGAGCCTTGGTATTTGCTATGTAGATACTGGTATTTTCAGCCTCAGATATTCAATCTGTCCATCGCTTGTGTGGTGTCCTCTAGTGCTGCTTCCCTCTTGGTTGCGCACTATCTGGTGTAGTCTTGACATATTTTGATATTTCAAACCATTTGATCTGTTGTCTCTTGGTGTAGTTTAGTACTGCCATTTAACTGTAGGAGTGGAATGAAAATTCCAAGGAAGGGATATGCACGAAACATGGTTAACATTGTAATATACATGAGTATATTTTGTATAACTTATACTATAAGCCATAAATAATACAATTGATAATATTTTAATATTTATATTATAATAAAATTTATTGTACTACTATTTCTAGTAATACTAATTAACTATTTGTACCTGAGTGCATTCACAGGTGGATTATTGATTTCGAGGACTGCAATATTCCCATCGACTATGTAATCAACCATTTCTGCAGTTTAATGACACTGTGCCACTTGAATGGTTACCAATATGCACTACCAAAAACGTCCTAACAATACAAATTGTAGTTTGTATTCAATGTCTTGGACGGGTCAGAGTACAGGGATATTGAATTTGAGTTACAGTTCACGAACCTTAGGCCATGACCCATGACCTTAAGTAGTTTTCGTATAATATTTTTTTCGGTTATTTCTCATTTTAGCCAAAATGTCAGTTTTTAACACTCTGCTTGCGTTTGTCTCCACCTGGATTGCAGTCGAGCAGATTCACTGGTAACTGATCTATTTGTGCCTCTGTAGTGTTTACTTGCCCCTAGTGTCTAGTTTGTCATACATTATTTCACCATCAAGTGGTACAGAACCGGCCTGTCTATAGGTTTGCTCGTTTCCGAATACACCAGCATGACCTAGAGAAAAATATTTAAAGGAGGGCCCGGGACATCTGAAGCTATGCTTGCCACTCTGCACGGAGCATTGCATGTCTTAATTAGGGGAACATTGCAAATGTATGTACTAATAAAGAGTCTTTTGTTAAAAATGAGCAGTGGGAGTGGCTTAAAGATATTGAACAACTTCCAGGTGATCGAGTCCTTATGTGTAGAGACTTTAACACACGCGCCTATTTAGAGTGTACTTGGTGATCATGCAAGTGACCACATACCATGCTTTATATATACATATAAAGTCGTAGAGCCGTGGAGTTTTTTCCCCCCTTAAATCTTCTGTCTGAGCCACCAATAGCAAAGGTTAGAAAAGGAAAATGCTAATTAAATAGGGTTCGTAAAGCTCCCCTATACTACCCCCACCCCACCTCCCCCAAAAAATCACTGACAAAGCTACCACCCAAGCAAGAGCCAAACTCTTGGGGAAAACTGTTTTAGACGGGTACGGAAGAAGAAGAAACAGAAGAAGGAGGAGAAAGAGGAGGAATAAATGTACCGAGAATCGACAGACAAAGATAACAATACATTGTGAAGGGTTGCGGGGGGGGGGGTGGTGTTATCGATCCTCGGATCTTTGGAGAGCCGTGAGGTGATAAGCTGAAGATTATCTCTATTATATGAAGTTCCTTCTCTTGCCAAGGCCGTGGTCTAATTATCACACACAGCAGTAATAGGAATAACACCCCCTTCCCCTCACCCCCCCCCCCCAGATCATCGTTGAAACAATTTCTCCTCATAAAATTGGCATCTAAATGATTCTAGAATTTTCTGTCTAAAGCATTGCACGGAAAGACGGCGAGAAAAGATATTGGCCATTCAGCTTCATGCTCAGCATTTACAAAATGTGGATATGTTGAATGTCGAATTAACAATCGACATCATAGCACCCGGGACACTCCAATAAGACCTCTGTACCTATCTTTAGCAGCAAGCGAAGAGTTTCAGTTCCGATGGTACCAGTAACTGTCTTACTGTACACCCGTCTCGCCTTTCCCTTGAGTGTTGAGCGTCGGCCAGATTCCTTGGTAAATTTACCGCAGCGCCATTCTTCCCATTCCTCAAAACATGTGGCCATTTATTATCTACAGTAGTGTCTGTCACCCGGCTACTTGTTCATTTTACATTCAATGGTAGATGGAAAATCCTAATTTCATGTACAGAAAAAAATTAGAAATAGGAGATAAAAATATGCTTATGAAGTAGTTGAGGACTTGGGTAAGATGGGGATACTTTCTAACCATTCCACTCCGTTCCACAGAATGGTTTGCCCTACGTTGCTGGTCTCAATTTCGTCAAGTCTGCACTGATAGATCTGTGTATCGCTGATTTAGGAATATTGTCCTTGATCTAACCCACCATTCGCGCCCCCTCCCCCTTTTTTTAACGGAGCTATGGGAGTTTTCGTTTTTGAATACTTTATTTACAGCGTCCTGTCTGTTCTGTTATAGGCTTTCAAAGTTGTTTCTTCTCATCAATTCAGTTAATTCTAATAACTTTTCGAGAACACCACGTGTATAATGCCCACAGACGCCTTTTGTCATGTGTATTCATCATCTATATTTCAGAACAATTTTTAATTCGCATAACAAAGAATTAAATTTTTCATCTCATTTTTTTTAACGGTTAGGTCAAAAATGGCGAAATCAAGGACAAGAACTTTTTTGTAAAAAGGGCAAACTGATTTATATTTTAATTCTGATTCTTGTTAGAAATTAAAAAAGATTTATAGCTTCCACATATTAACAAAACCTGTTTGCCCGGCGAAATATTATCTCAAACAAACCGATCAAGGACGCTCTACTTCTGTAATCTGCACGCGTAACAATCTGCTTTGTCAGACGACAGCCCGGGCATCGATTTCACATCCTCCACACAGTTGTAAAGGAACTCCAGTCCGAGTGGCTGACTTGTCTGGTGATCATGTGGTTGCATCTCCTTCGAGTTTGAAATTATAAAAAAAAAAAAAAAATTGATGTGGCTTCTAGGGCAACCCAGTCTGAAATGTATACTCGGAAATGTTACTGAAAGTGTGATACTGACAATCCTGTGCCGACTCTATTTAACTACTGAGTTAGCATTCACTGTACACTAAGTGAGTGAAGCAGTCAAAGGGTCCTTCAGACCTCTTGTTTTGGCACAAGGAAATATATTTGCTAGATCTATTTTTTTTTCTAGAAAAATGATACTCGGTAAGTGTTGTGGTCAACATCAAACCGGCCACCTTTGCTTCCAAAGATATTACTTAGTCCTAATTTTAGACTGGGTCGATCTTGGAGCCAGGATCATTTTTGAAAATACCCAAAGACAACACATAAAAAATCAGAAAGAGACACTAGTTATTTTTGTCCAATTTATTATAAGAGATGAAATAAAATCTCGAAATATTTATAAAACGACACAAAGGTAGATAACATTTAGTCATGTAAAGATGTCTGCACAGCACCAGATAATAATAATAATAAATAAAAAATAATTTACTTAGTAATTTTACTTAAATTCACTTACATACTAATGCTTACCGTTTACGCGTTTAGCAAAGAAAATCATTTATTGAAGCATAGAAAATAGAAGGAAGTGTAAAGTTTATATAAACTATTATAAATATAATTGTAAATATATATAAAGGTCATGGTGGCTTGGAAAAAAAGGTGATGGAGGGTGCAGTTTGTAGAACGCGAGGCAGGGGTCGACCACCGCCAATATGGATACAGGACGTTAAAAAAGCATTTATATCGAAAGCACATGGGGCAGGAGAGCAGGTTAGGGAAAGGGATACTTTTAGGCGTGCCGTGAAGAGAGCGACGTTCTGTAAAGGATTTGCTGATTGATGATGATGTGTGTGTGTATATATATATATATATATATATATATATATATATATATATATATATATATATATATATATATATATATATATATTTGTTTAGTTAGGATAGAGAGACCCAGTAATCACCCAGTCTGGGATTTTCTCCTGTCAGATTTTCATCGATGAGGAGTTAATTATATTGACAGCGGTATTGGAGGAGAACAACAATAAACCCACCATTGCCCTAACCCAAAATTGTCTCTCCTGTAGCTATTCTATGCTGACTTTCTGTGATAACGCTAATGTATAATGCAGAAAGCTCCAATTATAAATGCTGGCAACGAAGACAACAAGATTCTCTTCTCCACAGTTCCTTATCCATCAACCGACAAATTACTGCTTGATCGATCTCTGATAACAAAAGTAGCAATCTCTGTTTGTTTTGTTGGTTATTACAGTGACTATCAGGCCAGAATTCTAGCAGCTGTTCTATTGCTGGGTAACTCCGTTTATTAGACTAATCGTTAGGTCAGTTCATGTGTATGCAGGATACGCTTCAGTTCAACTGGAGATGTTAACATTATCTAGCTAAATTTATGCGTAAACGGTTTGTTAGAATGTAAGATAGCCTAACTATTGCTGCTTATTACACTGCATCATTGCCAGTTCGTTGTATTTAATGATTATCATCATGGACAAAACAATGGTTTTAGATACTTCAGATGTCAGTGGATTTGATACTGTGATGAAACATCCAGTAATGTTTTTAGGTTTGGGCGGAATATTCTCGAGAGCAAAAGACCCCACATTGCACACCAAAAACGACAAAGAAATGACACGTAGTATGTTTTTAACAGTCAGTAAAATGTTTAGATTTTTTTGCAAACATGTCTACAGAATTATCACCGGACTCATTAACTTTGGTTGTTTAATAAAAGCTATCGTGATGATTATTGTTTATGGTACCTTCAATCAGACAACGGTGGAAGAAGCCCTAGCAGTGCCATTCTGTGCCTTTGTCTGGCTGTCGGCAACATACGTGTATTATAAATTCTTTCCAGCGTTATCATCAAAATTTCTAACATACGAAACGAAATATGGATATAGCCATGACATATCCAGAACAGAAAAGAGGGCTAGGACTACATCATTGGTCGTCCTTGTGCTTCACTCCTGTTTTAAACTCGCATTTGGACTCCTACACGTATTTGTGTTAAACGATTCTGATAGTTACATTTATCCATTTGTTAATGAAGGAAGAACACGACAGATGGTGTGTGTTATAGTAACACTAGTGTATTTTCTCATTGAAATCACCCCTTATTACTTGCTGGTACATTACGTATTCATCGTGTACATGCTAACGCAGGAGTTTCGTGGTGTGCGTGATGAAATGTTGGACATCTTCATTACCGTCACAGATTTTGAAGAACGATTTGAAATATTGAGGTAAATATTATATCCCTTCTCCGGCGTGACGAAATCTTTAATGTCAGCAGTCTGCAAAAGGGTTTCAAAGTATAACTTATACGTTGTCAGTTTTTCGTGCGGCGCCCCCCCCCCCCCCAACACAAATTCATCATCAGCATCCTTATCAGCATCATCATCCTTAGCATTATCATCTTCATCCACTTGTGCCCTTATACACAGTACAGACACAGAAATCTCGCAGGTTATTCTTACATTCATTATGTCCTGCGCAATTGTTCAGTATGGATGGAATCCTAACCAGCGCACTT